AATGTTATTAACCATGTCGTTAAGTGTTAAAAAAAAATATTTATTCAAAAATAGTGGAAAATGACGACGCTGGAGCAATTCTCTAACTGACGCAAAAACAACAAAATTTTCTCTTAATCTGCATGAGTATAGCTAGAGAAATACGTGGGGGTTCTTCGATAAATTAATTTTAACATTATTTATTGACAAATGATTGCCCCATTTTTTGCACAAAATTCATCTTTTTACTTCAAATGTTCGCCAATCACACAAAAATTAATGTTTTAAAAATCCCCTATGTATTTCTCTAGCTATACTCAAATTCAACGCGCCTCGCGAGAATGACTCCAGCGTCATCATTTTGCACTATTGTTGAATAAATATTTTTTTTTCAACACTTAATGACATGGTTAATAATATTCTTGAATATTATTATCTTCTTACTTTTCCATCCATTCAAAGAAAATCGCAAAAAAACGCTTTATTTCAGGTTTTTACAGTGGACCTACTCCTTGCGGGGCCTTTCTACTTTGTGGGATTAAAGGAATCGAATTTTTTTTGCCTTATCTTTTAGTATGTAGTCTCGAAAATATATCCACGAAATATTAAATTGAAATTCGGAAAACTAACGAAGTTATAGCCTGCTGAAATGTAATACTTTAAAGCTGTTTTTCTCGAAACTACATTTTTCGGCACCGCGTAAATAATAACATAAAAACTATTCAGAATATCAACATCAACTTTATGCAGTGTCTTTAGAACTGGTCTCTCTATCGCATGAATTAAGATAACTGCGATATATGCAATACTTTTTCTTTTATCAACAAAAAAGCAACCGAATATATGAAAATATTCAGTACCTTTTCGTAAAATAACTACTATTGTGCCATTTTTCGTTTTATTGAAAAGATCTTATTTCATGCGATAACCAAACTTATCTATATTAAGAATATCTTTGGTTTTTGGATTACAGATTACGTGTTCACAAAATATTACCTACACAGTCGGGCGCTATACATAAGAACTGTTGTTCGTTAATCAATAGATATTATGCGTTGCAAAAATTCGTAAATATAGTTAATTATACAGGGTGTTTAGCCATCCCTTGGAAAAATTTTAATGGGAGATTTTAGAGGTCAAAATAAGACGAAAATCAAGAATATCAACTTCTTGACTGAGGCTTCGTTAAAAAGTTAATAAAAAATTGAATTCAAAAATTTCAAATCATTCTGAAACAATTATTTTCAGTTGCAGGGGTCGATTACGATCATTTTTGGTCATTACATATACCCCCGAATTCCAATGCATTTTTGAGAAAAAAATTCCTTCCCGAAAATCTAATGCGAGGCCAGAAAAGTTGCCCGAAAAATGGGAATCTTTAAAATGTCATAACTTCTGAACGGGTTGGAGGATTTTAATGTTTCAATGCAAACAACGCGTATTTTGATGGAGAATATGTAGAAATTCCAAAAATATTCGAAAAGTTGTTCCATAATCCCGTAAAAACAGAAAAACCCCATAAAAAAGGTCCAATTTTCAAACAGCCATAACTCCTATAATAGTCAATATATTTCAATGAAACTTTTTTCTGCAGTACAGCTCATGGGTATCTACAAAAATGTATTACACAACTTTTTTGTAGGGTGTCAAACAAATTTATTAAAAATGAAAAACGAATTTTTAAGAAAAATCGACAGGCTACTGAAATTTTTCAGCGAAATTGAAAAATTTCAAATCGTTCTGGAAAAAATATTTTCAGTTACAGGGGTCAGTTACAAGCATTTCAGGTCAATAGACATACCCCCGAAATCCTTCACACTTTCGAGAAAAAAATTCGGGTAGGTGGACAAATTTGTCAACAAAATTAAAAAATTTCAAATTGTTTTGGAAAAATTATTTTCGTTTGCGGGGGTCAATTACAATCATTTGTTAGTTAATAGGCATACCCCCAAAATCCTACTCACTGTCGAGAATAAAATTCATTACTGAAAATATAATGTCTGACCATAACTGTCTGGTTAACCTGAAAAAAAAAATTTCAAATCGTTCTAAAAAAATTATTTTCGGTCGTGGGGGTCAATTACAATCATTTTTGGTGAATTCATATATCCCCGAAATCCTACGTGCTTTCGAGAAAAAAATTATTTACCGAAAATATACTGTGTGACCGGAAATGTTTCTATAACTTTTTAACGAAGCCTCCACCAACGAAATTGGTATTCTTGATTTTCGTCTTATTTTGGCCTCTAGAATCTCCCATTAAAATTTTTCCGAGGAGTCGCCGAACACTCTGTATAGTAAACATATATCCACAAAACCTGGAATTAATTGCTCTTTAATAGCCCCCCCCAAAAAATCACAAAGAAACATCTTTTTTTCTTGCCTACAAAGTAGAATAGCCCCTTAAACCTCTATTGGATCCGTGTAAGTTTCAAGTCACGCGCTAACACATTGTGCCCCGTAGCATGTGGGACCCAATTCATGACTAGATCCTACACACGAAAAGAATAAAAAAAGTTCGTATAAACGTACAGTAAGGAGCATAACCAATAATCACAAGTTTTGCATACATCATTATTTACTGCTAAGAATATAGTAGATTATTGACAAACAAACATTATAGTTATCTTTATCACAGTTAGAAGTAACATAAGAAATTTTTGTAATAGTTAGTGTCTTCTCGTTTAACAATGAAAAAAAGAATAGATTTATTCGGTTTTGCACCACGTTCGATACTTGTCAGTATTTAATATGTCATTTATTTTTAATATTTTGTCCACCTTCCCTTTTGCTTGCAAAACGGCACTAATTCGCTTCGACGTACCTTCTATTAATTTTCTGCAATAATCCGGAGATATTTGTTCCCGCTGTTCTTTAATTCTGCTACAAAAATGTATGATTGATGTTAATTGGGAATCATATGAATCCCGCATTCGTCTTTTTATGGTTGAAGCTCTGTGCAGACCAATCCAAAACAGAAAATTTATTAGCAATGGACCAATTCTTCCCACTTTTAACAGTGTGCTTAGAGACTAAAATTTTCTTTTCATTTTTAACATTATTAATAAAATTTAAAAAAGGTATTTGCTTTAATTTTTTTACTCGAGGACGTGTTTCATCTAAAAGCTTAGTAGTTTAGAATCAAGCTCACTCAATTAATTGCCACCCAATTTACGTAAAATATTCACCTGGTGTAAAAAAGCATTTTTATTTTAAAAAAGTCACCTTCGTTTCTCGAAAAATGTAAAAACAAAAAATCAAAGTAGGCTATCGTGTTTGTCGTGGAAAACTTGATAACTTCATCCTCTTTCATTATTTATTAACGCTTACTGCTTACGAAAAAAACATTCAACTAGTAACAGCGTGAATATCAAGGCCACATATGTCTAAATAATTTTTCTTTCTTAAATTTTCTTACAGAATATGTTGCCAAAGTTTTCTGGGAAAAACGCGAACACTCAGATTTAAAAATGATAAAGAACATTTCATTATTTTGATACGTCCAATTTTCGTCTGAAATATTTTCCCACGTTATCGATAATTCGAATTATAATTGTGTTTATTGAACGTGTTAAAAAATCCTGTAGAAAATCAAACGAAACAGCGTGGTCATCTTAATAGTGGAAAACTTGTAAAACAACTTCGTGAGTCGAAGTGACTCACGTCTCTGTTGCTCGTGTCTGTTTGAAATTAAATGGAGATTAATTGCTCTCGTTCTTCGGCTCATCGAACCACGTTAAGCCTCGAAAATGTCCTAAACGACGGGCAGGAAATGTCACGCTGCCAATTAGTGGAATGGTAATGTTGCAGAAAAGGCACGGTCGTAGTTCTTGACCCGCGACGCGATAAAATGTCAATCGAACGACGCTCTTCGATGCTTAAAACGACGCGCAACAGCATGACCACGCGTCGCACAAATTCCCTAATTTCTCCTTTAAATTTACTTGTTAACCACCGACACGAAAATTCGATAATCCAAAATCGCACGTAATTTTTGTCCTGATGGAAATTAAATTGCAAATAATTCACCTATCGAACGTATACCAATGTTATTACAGAGCAAGCGTGTGAAAGTTTATCCCAATTATTGTTAAAAACAATTAAAAATATTCTTATCCCCGATAACGGCGACGCGCGAGGGAAAGACGTAATTAAGGAGGGCAAAAAAGAATATATTGCATATTACATCGTGACATTTTAATCCCAACTTGAACCACAAGCTAACTTTCTACTTCGCTATAAAAAGTGACACGAAACAGACTAGCTTTAATTACGGCATTTTGCTATAAAAAGTGTCGCGAGAAATCGATTAACGAGCCATTTACACGTTTACACTTTCTACATTTCGCTCGTCGGAGCTTTATCAAAGTCTTATCTTACACCACTTTCACCCACTCTTTTTACAGTATCGTTTACGTACGCGTACTTGGTATTATCGTTTCGATCACACGCGGCCTCATTGTCACTGAAAATAGATCTGACGCTCCTCACTGGTTCCTTCCGGATCTCACCGTTCACTGTTCCTTCAATAAACGAAATGTACAGGGAATAATTCTTCTTAAACTTCTATTTTTTACACGTATAACACAGTTGGTAATACAATCCAGTTACTAAAAATTAGGCGCAGCGGAAATTTCGAGTCCCGTTGGATTTTTCTTGTTAAACGTTCGATCTCCGAAGAATTCACTTTAAACTGTTCGTAAGGTCCCCCAAATCTTCGAAAGGCTCGTTAAAAATTCGTCTGAATTTCGTCGGAGTGGTTGAATTTACTGGAAACTGGAACCCTTGAATTGCACGTAGAATTTACACGACGTTAAAATAATCTTGGAACGCCGATCGTCTCAAATAATTGTTGTAAATTAGCTTTCTAAATCCTCGGAGCTGCACGGATAACGGCTCGACGAACGCCCACGCGTTCCTTAATTGTCTCCAATATTCCTGTGTCTCAAGCTGTCGCTCGAAAATCTTCGAAATCATTCTCGATCGTCGTCAAAAGAGCAACACGCTTGAATGATTTCATTTCAGCGATGTTGACGTTGAATCGGCTGTCCGTGTTGCGGTTGATGAGACAGAGTAACCGAGTGGGGGTGCGTCATCTGATGAAAACTCGTTGGCGAACCGACGCGTCTGGAGATGTGAATGTTCCCTGTCCGTGTCGGCGACGGCGTCTCGTCGCCAAGGACGTCGATTTCGTCGTCGTCGGAGTCCACAGGAGCGTCGCTGCTCGCCCGTGATTCTCGACCACCGCTCAACGAGAAATCCACCGGTCGTTCTGTGAACAGTTTCGCCGCAAATTTCAATTTGATTCATTTTTTTTTTGTATTCGATGAGTTAAAATGTATTAGAAGTTCGAGAAGAAGATATTATACAGGGCGTTCGGCTACACCTGGGAAACATTTTAATCGGGAATTCTAGAGGCCAAAATAAGACGAAAATCAAGGATACTAATTTGTTGATTGAGGCTTCGTTTAAAAGTTATAGAAACATTTCCGGCCACACAATATATTTTCGGTTAGGAATTTTTTTCTCGAACGGACGTAGGATTTTGGGAGTTTGCCTATTCACCAAAAATGATTGTAATTGACCCCCATAACCGAAAATAATTTTTCCAGAACGATTTGAAAATTTTTATTTTCAGGGTAACCAGACAGTTATGGTCAGACATTATATTTTCAGTAATGGATTTTTTTCTCGAAAGTAAGTAGGATTTCGAGGTTATGTGTATTCACCAAAATTGATTGTAATTAACCCCTCTAGCTAAAAATAATTTTTTCAAAACGATTTGAAGTTTTTTAATTTTGTCGACTTTGTCCACCTACCCGAATTTTTTTCTCGAAAGTGTGAAGGATTTCGGGGGTATGTCTATTGACCAGAAATGCTTCTAATTGACCCCTGTAACTGAAAATATTTTTTTCAGAACGATTTGAAATTTTTCAATTTCGCTGAAAAATTCCAGCAGCCCCTTTCGATTTTTCTTAAAATTCGTTTTCGATTTTCAGTAATTTTGTTTGACGCTCTATAGAAAAGTTGTTTAGTACTTTTTCGTAGGTACCAATGACCTCTACTTCAGAAAAAAGTTCCATTGAAATATATTCACTATTATAGGAGTTTTGGTTGTTAGAAAATTAGACCATTTTTATGGGGGTTTTCTCGCTTCGCGGGGCCAAGGAACAACTTTTCGAATATTTTTGGAATTTCTACATATTCTCCATCAAAATACGCGTTGTTTGCATTTTGAAACATTGAAATCGGCCAATCCGCTCAGGAGTTATGACGTTTTAAAGATTTGCCTGAAATTTTGGAGATGCTATTTCTGGCCAGAAATTATATTTTCGGTTAGGAATTTTTTTCTCGAAAGTGGGTAAAATTTTGGGGATATGTCTATTTACTAAAAATGATTGTAATTAACCTCCGCAAGCAAAAATAAGTTTTTCAAAATGATCTGAAATTTTTTAATTTAATTTTTTAATAACTTTTTGATGAAGTCTCAATCAACAAATTATTTTGGCCTCTAGAATCTTCTATTATAATTTTTCCCTGTAGTAGCCAAACATCCTGTATATTTTCATATATGTTATTTTCTTCAGAATGTTAAGTAAAATTTGGTTATTTTTTAGTCACTTTTCTATCTTGTGTGAAAAGTCGTGAAGTTAAATGGCGCTAAAATAACGTTGTATGTTAGAAAGAAGCGAAATTTTAAAAACGGTCTTTTAACCGGTCGTGGTAGGTTTATGTTAAAATCGGTTTTCTTTTTTTCTGCATATATTTATGTACTATTTGTTAGAATTACAAAATTTTAAATTCTCATCTTTGAAGGATTAAATACAGTTTATAATTTTGATTGCTTGGAAACTTAATAAAAATTTAAAAGACATTGTTTAAAAACAAGTAAAATGTCTATTTTTCTATGACAGAATTAAATAAAATAATAATGTTTGAACAGAAAATTATTAAGATACGTCTATTTTATAACTGATTGTATTCCAGCTGTCCTTAGTAACTTAATAAAAATAGAAAAATTGACTTTTCCATCTCGTATTTGTTTCGTAGAACGTTGTACCTCGAGCATACTAAAATTAGATGTTTAATTAAATTTGAAATACTGCACCTTTCATATATTGAATTATTTGTTACTGATACGAATAGGTATTTTTAATATGGTCTATTTTAATTCTTGTAAGGGTGACTTGGTCTTTCCTTTGAAGCAACTACAGTGATACTTCAAATCACACGTCTCTGAGGTATGCATTTACCTAAATTTTTCTAAAGTTTTTCTGAGAGTTCATTTGTTAAACGTGTTTTTCTCAAAACCAACTTTTTCAAACTTGGTGGCTCAATAACTCAGTTAATTTTGTTTGCACTCTTCAATTGCACATATGGAATTTTCGATGGAATAATCAGTTCCTACGTGACATTAAAAAAAACATTGACCTTTTCACAGATTTTTCAAATCATTCCTTCAAAGTTCCACCATTTTAAAATAAATTATAATTTTTATAAATCCCCACAACTGAAGCTACTGTCTCATAGTTTAAGAAAATTGCATGATTTCTTGTTTTAGAATGTCTACTGAAAAATTACACGCCTGCCAACGTTTCCAATAAATTTTTAGAAGCTTCCCACGCCGGTTCCAAACACGTCTATAATAAATATTTTTCCAAGAAGTAGTTCAAGAAATGTACTTTAGAAAACCTTAAACATTCATTAGAAAAAGTGTCAAGCCTCCAAAAAATTTCATTTATTTCCATCCGTCACAGTGGTTTTCCCCCTCAACGCAAATGACGATAAAAACCGTTAAAACAATTCTTGCCGGACGGATTGAAAATCGCTTAATTAAATTGGGTCGGATATATGCCGATATACAACTACGGTCCTTGGCAGGCCTTAGTGGCGAGCAATCGTGAATGTAGGTCTGGCCGAGCACTTAGCCGATAATTGACTAATTTTCTCGAAGACCGAATCGAGAAGACAAGAGAGGTAAGAAGGGGTAGCAGAAGACAGGGGTAACCGGGGGTGGAACAGAGAGAAAGAGAGTGCGGCGAGGGGTATCGTAACTCTCCTGGGTTCCTTAGACGGTATCCGTTGGAGTCTCTAGACGACGAGGCGGTCTCATCTTCTACGTGCTTTCCACCCCTTACAACCCCCTTCTTCCTGGCTGCCAAGGAGATGTCTGCTAACTTCGTTAGCCCTTCCTACCGAACGAAGCCATCTTGGCTACCGAGACGAGGAACTTGACGAAGGTTACGAGTAGATGCGACTCGGGGATGACTTGAGATCGCTTCCCCTCGGTTATAGCCGGTGATTATTTAGGAAAGCGGCGCGAGCTACTGTGGTCGAAGTAATACAGTGTCCGCGAAAAATATTCACACACCATTTTACAGTAAGGAGCATAACCAATAATCACAAGTTTTCTATAAATCATTATTTACTGCTAAGAATATAGCAGGATATTAAAAAACAAACGTTATATCTTTATCACAGTTAAAGGTAACATAAGAATAAGAGCTCCTGTGGTCGAAATAATACGGCGTTCGCGAAAAAATATTCACACACCATGTGCTGTTTTATAGTAATGAGCACAACCAATAATCACAAGTTTTGTATAGATCATTATTTACTGCTAAGAATATAGCAGGATATTAAAAAACAAACGTTATATCTTTATCACAGTTAAAGGTAACATAAGAATAAGAGCTCCTGTGGTCGAAATAATACGGCGTTCGCGAAAAAATATTCACACACCATGTGCTGTTTTATAGTAATGAGCACAACCAATAATCACAAGTTTTGTATAGATCATTATTTACTGCTAAGAATATAGCAGGATATTAAAAAACAAACGTTATATCTTTATCACAGTTAAAGGTAACATAAGAATAAGAGCTCCTGTGGTCGAAATAATACGGCGTTCGCGAAAAAATATTCACATACCATGTGTTGTTTTATAGTAAGGAGCACAACCAATAATCACAAGTTTTCTATAGATCATTATTCACTGCTAACAAGTGTAACTGTGAGTGTTAGAAATAAAGCGCCATTTGTTTCTGCGCCGCCTAGAGTTCTTCTGGTTTTGCTCTTTTGAATCCACCAAATTCCCACACTAAGAATATAGGAGAATATTAAAAAAGAAACGTTATATCTTTATCACTAGACTGCGGATTTTTATGCAAAATTAATGTTTTTATTAATAGAGTTAATGTGATGGGAGCTTTGTAGAGGGTTGTTTCAACCCTTAAATGTAATAATTTGTACCACATTTTAGGTATTTTTTATATTTCTGCATATTAAGTACATTGAATAGTTTTTGAGAATTAAAATTTCCCATAAAAGCATAGACATCCGCAGTCTATTTGTCACAGTTAAAGGTAACGTAAGAAACTTTTTCAGTAATTAATTTCTCCTCGTTTGGCAATGAAAAAAAGAATAGATTGACTTTTACACCAGTTCGTAAGTCAATCTATTCTTTTTTTCATTGCCAAGCGAGAAGACATTAACTACTAAAAAGATTTCTTATATATACTTCTAACTGTGATAAAAATTACTGTCTATTTTTTAATATTTTCTTACATTCTTAGTAATGAATAATGATTTATATAAAACTTGTGGTTATCGGTTCAGTTATGCTCTTTACTGTACAGTCAGAAGCGGATTTAAGTTTTTCCATAAAACCATGAAGACTCAAAATGCTTAATTCGAAAGTAGTCTTTTAGAAAATTTATCATTTCTTATTTAAAATTTTCAGTCACTCACGCAATCGAGCATAAGTCTGTGTTGGAAAAATTAATTTCTACGCACGTATTTAACTCCTCGAGTATGATGAAAATTTCAGTTTCAAATACGAGCTTGTCATTTTAAATTTTAGGAGTTTTTTGAGGAATTACAGGACAGGAAAGATGTTACAAAAAATTGATAAACACAACAGGTCTCCTACACGGTCTTTAGGTGACAAAATTTGATTCATAAACATAAAAATACACGGTCGAGTGTCGATAACTGAGGTTTATAGTTAAAGGGTTATGGCAATATATATTTTAATATGTCATTAACAGATAATTCGCAAAAAAGCTATCAAACAAAATTAAGTATTTCTTTTTATTCAACAGAAAATACAATAGTAAGGTAAAACTAATTAAAACAAAAACTAAACACTCCAGTGTTATAAACCAAAATCAAGAAAACAGGCTTTCACTGTGTATAAAAAACTTTATGATACAAATTTTCATACACATTTATAGTAAACAAAACACGAAAAAATCTGGAAATATTTTCAAA